CTGGCCTCAGACCCTGAGAGAGGACAAGGGAGTAGGGACCCAGTAATCTGAGTAGCCCAGGTTTGGCTTTTGGCTAGGCGCTGCGTGGCAAACAAGAAGGAACACATTCCGGGAAGGCAAGGAGCCTTGCCAACACTAAGGCAGCCAGTAGGTAGGGCCCTGCCGGGCACCAGGTGCTCCCTAACTCTGTGATGGTCAGACTCACAAAGGAATGATGAACTCCTGTTCTCTGGATCATTTCAGAGGTCCAACCACCTCCCTGTCTCCCTTTTATGGCAATCAACAAGGCACATGTAACTTACATTTTTAACCTCCCTGCTCTGCGTTCCAGTTTTCTAAACACAAGAGGGAGAGGGGTGTGGTTGCCATCCTAAGATCACTTTGTACAGGAGCCAGATTTCTGACTGCTGAGAGAAGATGTCAGTCACAATGACTGCAAGTCCTGGGAATGCTTGGACTTTGTACCCTGGGTGGGAAAGAGACCACCCCCCCCACCACCACCACCACACACACACACACACACACACACACATACACACATGTTCTTCATACCTGCCAGTTCTGCCTTCCTACAGGGCTGACATCTAGGTCTGGAGAGCCCTTGTAAATGTTTTCCTTTCAGGATTGCCTCAGGCCTTTCCTCAGGCTATGACAGAAGGAACCAAAGGAGAAAGCAGGGGGTTTGGGGCTAATGATCGGTCACATCTCCCTGCTGGACATTACTTGCTAGTGGAAAGAGGGTGCACTCCACTTGGTCCCATTTTACACTCAGTAAGGCCCTTTCTCTAAGCAAGGAGATTGAAGTCTGTTCCTCACCTCTGGGCCCTGGGTCTTCTTTCAGAGGCTTTGCTGCCACCTAGTGGGCCAGTTGGCGTCTCACCCTTCCTCTGAGAAGAAAGCTTCAATAAGGCTTTGGCTTAAACCAAGGCATCTGGCCTCAGTTCAGTGGGGAGGCAAACAGATGATCCTTCTCTTGAATAGTTCCTCTGCCCTAGGACTCCCTGATCCTGTGGCCCAGCTGTTAGGAGAGAGGAGCACAGGCTTCAAGACCTCAGCCAGTTTGGTAGCTTTCCTAATGCCATGGCAACTAGGTAGGAGGGCCGTGGCTGGCTGGCCTAGAGCCTAGGAGGAAGGATGGTATGGAGGCTTCTTAGTTCCCAGGCTGCTGAGGGGTGACAGTCTCTCCCTGACCTCCTCTCTGCCCTAGATGCCCTTTTCACTAGAACTCCTGCCTGCCCCACAACCCTTCCTCATCTGACAGGCTTCAACATTGTATTTCCTTCTGTTTCCTCAAATTTAAGGTGGTTATTTTCCCCATATATAGTTAGTTCACCTCAAAAATGATATGCATATGACTATGTGCCCTCTCTGATACTGCTGCTATGGACCAGTTCCTGGGAATAGTGATAAGTAGGTATATATTTTACATTTTTATTGTATTGGTTTCTTGAAGTCTGTAGATTATTAGCTCTATCTTCCTGCATATTATAGCTAGGTGCTTATTTCCTCATAAAGGAAAGCTCTTGGTTTGGGCAACCCCCCATCCACCCTGCCATCCTCACACTGTCAGATCTAAGCTGCCGTACCCAGGGATCATATAAAGTCTAAGCTCACGGTTCCTGCCCACTTCTCCAACCTCTTGTCATAAGAGTCTCTCAGGCCATCTCTGTGTGCCTCTGAGGTAAGGTTCTTTCTTGCCTTGGAGCATTTGCAGCTGCTGATCCCTCTGCTTGGAATGCTCTTTCCTCCAGCTCCTCCCATAGCTGGCATCAGCTTAAATGTCCTTTAGACATCAGCTTAAATGCCACCTTTTTTGACTACCCCACCTAGAGCCATAGAGGAGCCCTGGAAGGGCAGCAGTTAAGCATTTAGCTGCTAACTGAAAAGTTAGTGGTTTAAGTTCACCAGCCAAATAAGGAAGAAAGATGTGGTATTCTGCTTCTATAAAGATTACGTTGTTAAGTGCCATCGAGTCAGTTCCAACTCACAGTGACCCTGTATAGGATTTCTGGCTGGTAAGTGTGAACCACCACCCTTGCTGTTCAAACCGGCCATGTAAATTTACAGCCTTGGAAAGCCTATGGGGCGGTTCTGTTCTGTCCTATCAGGTTGTTATGAGAATCAGCTAAGGGGCAGTGGGATATCTAGAGCTAGCTCCCTTTTTAATCTCATCTGTTGATTTCCTTCATGAAACGTACTTATGTTGACATGGAATGTAAACTCCCTGGGCATGAATCTGACATGTTCGCTGCTGTGTCCCCACTGTCTAGCATAGTACCTAGCACATAGTCCAGGCTCAGTAATATTTACTGAATGAATGAATGAATCATGACTCGAGGAGGATGTCCTATGAAGAAAGAAGAAAGGTGGTATGGCCCAAATCAGATCGTAACCTCACTACCTAGACTCTAAGTCATAAAAAGGCCACTCTGGCATGGAGTTTTGGACTTTAATTTTGGAATCTGAAGCACAGTACTATTCAAACCAGGGATATCACACCTTGAAGCTGCCGAAGCATTCCCAATATGCATCCAGCAGAGGCAGTGATGGTTTGCTGAGGCCACCCCAACCCCTCCCCATATGCCTGAGGTATGACTGTTCAGCTAAGGTCCTTTGAGATTTACAGAGCAGTTAGGATTCTGGGGGTGAACTGGGCTCCATCAAGTCTCCTTGGTGTCAAATGTTGCAGGAAGTGGAGCTCCAGTGAGTATTCAAAGGTTAAAAATGAATTTCCCATACCACAGGACACTAGAAAATCAGATGTTTTTTATTTAAAAATATTTTCAAAGGCTGATACCATAGTGGATACAGCCGAAAGGAAATGAAGAGAAGCAAGCAGGTCTGTAGAAATACACATAGTTTATAAATGAGCACAAGAGAAGCTATATTGGCCCCCAGTGGACCAGGCTGGGGGATGAAAGGGAGAAACAGCCTTCCAGAGGGACAGTCATACCCATGCCACCCAAAGCATTGGGCCCCAAGATGGTCTCCAAAGCCGCTTTCCCTATAGCGAGCCTCTTGTCCTTTCTGAGCCTGGGGCTATGGCTGGAGACCAAGTTTACCAGCTTCTTGGCACACCTAGGACTTGGCACCACTAGCAGTCTCTGGCTGAATCTAGCCCAGCTCAAGAGTACACATTTGTTCTCACTGCTCTTCAGCATGGACCAGGGAAGGGAGGTAGTGGGGCAAGAAAGAGGATTTCCCTGAAAGATGATGGAAAGGAATGAGAAGAGGGCTGACTCAGAGAGAAAGATGGCCATCCATCCAGTGTGTGTGTCACTGCGGAGCTGATGAGAACAGTGATTGTCCCCTGACGGCCAGCTTGTCCACCTAATCCTAAAACCTGGGATGCAGAAAGGACTAAGAGACCTCTAGTTTGAGTTGTCACCTACCCTCCTCATTTGAGTTTGTCATAAGCAAGACACACAATAAGCAATGTCCACTTAGATTTCTTCCCTGATTAGTCTCTCAAGTGGGGGGACCCTGGCTACTTTTGACACCAGTGACTTTCTCTAAACCTCCAAAGGCAGTCTTAGCAGGCATAGCCCAGGCAGAGTAGGCCAGAGTTCTAGGGCACACACAAGTGCTGTGGAATGGAGAAGGCCTGGACCGAGGACACGCCAGGCCAGAGCCACCCATGGTGCTACACTTCGCATTCCCAGCTTTCTTGTCCCCAGAGTTATCACTCACAACCCCCATGGCTTTAGTTAGTCTCATCTGGGACACCTCCAACTGATTTCTGGAGAAGAAAGCAGTGGGGTGACACGGAGAGCTCTGCCCTACAATGACCCAACACCATCACCCCCGGCTGCCCAGCCAAGCCTCACCAACAGGTTGCTGTTGGCCAGTCTGGCAGAGAGCACAAATCAAACCCTCAAGTCATGGCCTCCACACTCAGCCCACCTTGCTCACCCCCTACTTCTAAGGCCTGGGGCATCTTGGAAATGTTTGTGCACAGCAAGCAAACACAGTCCCAGGTCTGTGACCACAGTAGCCAAAGGCCTGCTCCACCTTTCTCTCAGAAGTAGTGGCCAAGGACACAGAGTTCTAGAACCCCCAGTTCTGTGCAGCTCCTGCGACCAACCCCTGTAGGGTTACTAGTGTCCCAGGCTCAGCCAGCTCCGTCATGAAGGGCCAACACAGAGCCTCTACCCAGAGCACAATCCTTGTCACAAACCCTCCTCTCCCATTCACAGCGCCAGCAGGCCTCTACACTCTGGCTTAATAAGTGCCTGGCTTCCTGCAGAGAAGTCCTTGGGCGCCAGAAGAGGGACTCTTCAGAGTCCCCAGTAGGAGCCCAGTATATTGGAAGGGAGCACAAATTCTTCTGCTTTGTGTTCTGACCTCTGACTGCCCCACTGGAATAAGCCATGTGACAGGAAGCTACATTCCTGGTATCAGAGCCTGGCCTTTGCCCCTTGGGGTGCCCCTCAGTGATCCCCCTATATGCCAGAACTGTTCACAAGGAGCAAGCAGATTTCCCCGCCTTTTAAGTGGTGACTGAAGCTTAACATACAGACTCCCACAGCTGGTTCCAAGCTCTGGGGTTTTGTTTGAGTCCAAAACTTGTAGGAGCCAGTTACTCTGCAGAAAGGTACTTCAGGTCACTCATTGGTGCAGGGAGAAGGCAAAAGGATCCAGGATCTTTTCATACTTCATACTGAGCCTCAGCATAGCAGCAGCATAAACCAAGGGGCTCTTGGTGGAGCCTTAGCACCTAGAAAGTTCTTCTTGGAGGAGCAGTGGGAATGAAGGTCAAGTGGCTGTTACCTGTGCACAAGAGAGAGGCCTAGATCAGGGGAAAGCAGACAAATGTGAGCCAACAGGTCAGCCAAAGCTTTCTCCATCCAAGGAAGTGGGGGACTTGCCCAACCTTGCCCTGGACCATCAGGATAACTGAGCAAAAGGGCAAAGTCCACCTGGATCAGCGGACAGCCTGACCTGCAGTTTGGCTCTTGTCTTCACCCTCAATTCTGGAAGCATCAGGGGGAAAAAAGGCCTTACCTGTGCCCAGGGACTGGCCCATTCCAATTCAGGGAGCATAGCTGCTGTTCCAGCTGGGAGATGCGGAATGCCAGGTAGGATGAGGATATGACCAGGAAGCAAATGCTGGAGGAAGATGGGCAAGAAGTTGTGAAACCTCTCTGAAGAGAAAAGGCGTTTTTAGACACCAGAGAAAAGAGTGGTCCCTAAGCTTTTCCTGCAGTTGGAGGAACTGAAGAACCCTGTTCCCTGCAGTAGGCTGTGGGGCTGCCCTGGAAGCCCAGCAGGAGTTCTGACCAATTACGCTGAGCCCTGAGCTGTCATCCTACCTTTTCTCAGACCAGCCACCTTGGCCCTGGAACTCCTCTGGGAGGTCTCTAAGGCAGAGTTTCCCAGCAGGCACTGAGGTTGACTGAGGGAGGTGGTGAGGTGAGGGGAAGCCAGGCTGGCTGTTCATGAAACATCCCACTGTGCTCACAGCTCTACTTGTCCTTAGTGAAGGGCCAGAAAAGTCAGGGCCCCAGAAACTGCCCAAGTGGTAAGCAGCAGGAAGACCTTGCTTTTCCCCTTGTCAGTATTGCTCTGATGGCCCCTGAAATTCTGTCCCAACCCCTTGAAAAGCATGCACATGTGAAAAAGCATACACATGGGAACTGGCATTTTATTAAGAGATAAGGAAAAAGGAAGACACAGCAGAAACACAAAGACAAGAGTTGAAGCCCGGGATTCTGAATTGGTCCAGATGTCACCCAAAAGGAATCTAAATTCTAGCACACCTATCTAAGAGCCCAGCCCTCCCACCCTGTGCAACAGTTTCTCCGTTTCTCAGCAGTTGCATATACTGCCCTTTTCGCCCCCGGAACAGCCTTGGCCCCAACATTACAGGGAGAGTTTCAAGAACAAAGCTGGCCAGCCGTTCTCTCACGGCAGAAGGGCCTCCAGTCTTCAGAGGAGCTAGTTGAAGTTTGAATCTTTTTTCTTTTCTTTCCTGAAGCTTATTGTACAGAACTCCATGGCTGGTTCCCAAATGTGTTTTTCATTGCACATGACTAGGAACCTTCCCTGACTAGATAATGACGTCCCCAAACACCAGGGCCCCTGCTCCCAACACCTAGACCAGGTGGGTCTGTCCTGTCCCCCAATATCATCACCTACAGCACAAAGAAGACCTTGAGGAGCCGGTAATCCCAGAGCCTCAGCTCATCGTCACTCTTGAGTTCCTCCTCCAGTGTGTCCTCCTCACAGACAGCATCGTCTGCAATGAAAGAGCAGTTAGGCATCTTCTGGGGCAGGGAAGAGCCCAGCCCCACCCCGAAATGCCAGTCTCCCTGTCCCCTGACATTCCCTTATGGCAATGCAGAAAGGAAGCGCTTCACAAGCCTTGCTGACTGTGTTGAGCACTTTCCACAGAACAGGGAGGAGTGAAAGCCTGACCTTTACAAGCCATTGCCATGGACAACCAAAACCAGACTCGATACCACGGATGGACTCCAGGTATGCAGAGTAGAACTGCTCTGCTCCATGGGGCTTTCAGGGGGCGGATCACCAGCCCCTTCTTCCAAGAGCCTCTGGATAGATTTGAACCACCAACCTTCCAGTTAGTAGTCATACATTTAACCATTTATACCACCCAGGGACTCCTTGATACGTAGACAAGCACTCTTGAACTCACCAAATCCTGGTGGCTTCCTGGAGGGGAAGAAGTTGTCCCTGGAGCCCACAGATGCCCGAGAGATACAAGGGATGTTGTCTGGGAGGGACAGGGACCTGGAGGCATGGCACACTTTTCTCCATTTCATCTCGGGAATGAGGACTTCCTGCAGACAGGATGAGACAAGCTGTCCCCCCATGCCCTAAGGGACTTGTACCGGATTTATCAAAGCTCTCTTTAGAAATCACCAATGCTCAGTTGTCTATGGTCAACTGATTTTTGCCAAGTGTGCTATGTCCATGTGATGGGAAAAGAAGAGTCTCCAATAAGTGCTGCTGGGAAAATCAGATTTCCACATGCAGAAAAAATGAAACCATATACAAAAGCAAATTCAAGAATGCATTAAGGCTGCGCAAACTAAAACCATAAAATTCTTAGAACAAGCAGAAGCAGTGCAGTCAGGCTGAGCTTCCAACAGTGGGTTAGCTCATATAATAACAAAGAGCACACAGCAAAAGGCAAAACAGATCCATGGGATCACATAAAAAATGTTAAACTTTTGTTTAAAAGTCAAAAGACTTTACCAAAGAAGTGAAAACCACATATCCTTCAGAAACCATATATCCTGCAAGAATCTAATACTTTAAAAATATATAAAAACTTCAATAACTTAAGAACAAGAAGACAAATAGCCCAAACATGAAAATGAACTTAAATAGGTATTTCACCAAAGAGGACATTCAGATAGCCACCAAATACATGAAAAGCTCCTCACCATCATTAGCCATCGGAAAGATGCAAATCAGAACCACGGTGAGATCAATAGGATTTCACTCCCACTGGGATGGCTAAGGAGTCCTGGTGTGGCACTGTGGGTTAATGCACTGGACTGCAAGGTTGGCAGTTCAAGCTCACCAGCCACTCCTTGGAAACCTATACAGGATGGCTAGGAGTCGGAACCGACTCAATGGCACTAATGACAAGGATGGCTAAGATTTTTAAAAACAGAAATTAACAAATGTTAATGAGGATGTGGCAAATTTTAGAACCCTTATCCACTGCTGGAAATGCAAAATGATATAGCCACTTTGGAATGCATGTGGCACTTCCTTTAAAAACTAAAAGTAGGACTAACTACTATTGTTATTATTGCTAAGTGCCATCTAGTCGGTTTCTACTCATAGTGACCCTGTATAGGGTTTCTGAGGAACAGCTGGTGGGCTTGAACTCCTAACTTGTGGTTCGCAGTCCAGTGCTGATCACACCAGGAGTCCTAGAACTACCATGTGGCTAAGCAATTCCACTCCTAGGTATATAAGTCAAAAGACTTGAAAGCAGAGACTCAAACGGATATTTGTACACCTACATTCATTTCACAATAGTCAAAAGGTGGAAACAACCTAAATGCCCATTAACAGATGAATGCATAAACAAAATGTGCTATCTACATACAATGGAATACTCAGCTAGTAGGAGAAATGAAGCCTTAATACATGCTACAGTATGGGTGGAACTTGAAGACATGCTGAATGAAATAAACCAGTCAAAAGGGCAAATATTATATGACCTCACTTATATGAAAAGACAAATATATAGAGACCAAAAGTTATTGGTAGTAACCAGGGGTAGGGAAGATAGGGAAAGGACCGTTAATGGTGATGGAAAAATCACACTGAGGTACCTAAAAATCCAGGGTTGAGTCGCCCAGTAAATTACTGTAATTGCAATCAATAAGTTGTACACCTGTAAAAAGCAGAATTAGCAAAAGCTATGTGGTAGATCTGCTGCACAAGACCTCTTTAAAGCATTCAAGAGCAAGTCTGAAGACTAAGGTGCACCTGACCCAAGTTATAGTATTTTCAGTAACCTCATATGCATGTGAAAGTTGGACAATGAATACGGAAGACTGTAAAAGAATTGGTGCATTTGGGTTATAGTGTTGTAGAAAAATATTCACAGTATCATGAACTGCCAGAAGAACAAATAAATCTGTGTTGTTAGAAGTACACTAAGAATACTCCTTAGAAGCCAAGAGGGCAAAACTTCATCTCTCATACTATCAGGAGGGACCAGTCTATGGAGTAGGATATCATGCTTGGTAAAGTGGAAGGTCAGTGAAAAAGAGGAAGACCCCAGTGAGATTAATTGGCACAGTGGCAGCAGCAATGGGCTCACACATAACAAGAATTGGGAAGATGGTGCAGGGCTAGGTATTGTTTCAGTCTGTTGTGCATAGGGTTGTTAGGAGTAGGAACCAACTCAACAACACCTAACAACAATCTGATAGATACAGTTATAACAATGCCAAAAAAAACCTGCTGCTATGCATAGCCAAATATCTCATGGGATTTGGTTCCTTGGTTTGAGGCTTAGGTCTTGGTATCATGAGACATCTCAGTTGGGCTAATAATGTGTTTAGTACTTCTGATCTATCTCCTAGTTCCTAGGACAGTGCCTGGGGTCTTAACTAGTCTCTATTCACCAGGAATAACAGAGGAAGAAGGAGATAGGAGGAGGATATGGAATGTATAGCTAATTGCCTCTGTAAATAACTGCCTCCTTTGCCACTAGACCAGAAGAACTGAATGTTGCCCAGATACCATTACTGAACACTTCAATCAAAGATTCCATAGAAAAATCCTGATCAAAAGGGGGGAAATGCAGAACAGAATTTCAGTTTCATGGACTCCAGACTTCTTGATGAGTGAAGGCTGGACGAACTCCTGAAACTACTGCCCTGAGATAACACTGAACCCTTGAACCAAAAATAGCCCCTGAAGTCTTATGATAAACCAAACAACAGTTTAGCTTAACTAGTTAAAAACAAAAAAGGTCTGCCTTGAGCATTACGATCATTTAAGAACTATTTACATAGGATCATAGGGAACAAAGTGGCTTCTGTAGGATAAACATTGACCCAGTGGTACCAGGAATGACAGCACAAGGTCAGCAGTTCGAGCCCACCATCCTAGCCTAGAAGCAGGTACCCGGGAAAGGGGAATCATTACTGTAGCAACCCCATGTCTCTCCTATATGCTCCCCTGCACTTGCTAGGACCAACCACTCTGCCAGCTAGTCCCCCTTTCACCGTCCAGCCAGAAGCAGGGAACAGGCGTGACTAAAGAGCACCTGCTTCCTTTCATCTGGCTGCCAATCTCACCAGCTCTCGCCACCTGGGCAGGAGAAGTGTGAGCAAGTAGTTCTCAATCTCTAGACAGATAAGAAACTGAAGGTCTTATGTGGAAATGTTCATGTTAATTACAGTGATACCAGCCAGTGCCTCACCCTATCCTGAAGTCTGAACAGAACCTCTTCCTTGCAACTCCTAGTGTTGCGTCTCGCCTTCAAGCTCACCAGGGTCTCAGGAAACACGCTTTTGGAGTCTGCTAGTAAGAAACCAGAGTCCTGGTGTGGCACTGTGGGTTAATGCGCTGGACCACAAAGTTGGTTTGAACTGCAATAGTGGCAGTTTAAGCTCACCAGCAGCTCCTCGGAAACCCCATACAGTGTCGCTATGGTCAGAACCGACTCGACAGCACTTAACGACAAGAAGTAAGGAACCAGCAAACTGCTTCCCAGAAACCCTATATAAAGTGCTGTGATTTGGAACTGACTCCATGGCACTAAGGGCCACAATAACAAGTATGGAACCATAGAAATAGTTTAGACCTTAGTCACCTTAGGTACATTCTCAAATCAGCCAAGTCCAAGAAAGCAGGGCACAACCTGTCTTAAATGGATTACATCATGGTTCCTTCTAATCATGGTGCTCACCGTAAGCATGCCACTGACCTTGGCAGAAAGCCTCAGGGTCCCTTATCAAGAAAATGAGAACATCACTTTCTACCCCTGACGTGTCTTGTGTGCTTGGCTGAACACATAGGAGTTACTCAGGGATGCTTCAAATACCCTCAGGTCAATTCCACCCCCTCTCCCTTCTCTGGAAGCTCAACTCTGCCAATCTGGGGCCCAGCTGCCAAAGGAGGTCCCTGAGACTTTGGCAAATCTATAATTAGTCTGTCTGGGTTCTACAGTGATCACCTTGGGAGTTTCTCCCCAGAGATATCTCTGTCTTCCTGAAGGCCCTCCTGACTCAGCCAAAGGAAAGAAGATGGGTCGCTGTGCCTATCTGTACAGGAGTGGGATTCAACTTGAGCAGTGTTCTGGGGTTAGAATTCCTTCTAGTACATGACAGACCTAGTAGCTCTGCGTGGTATGGAGCAGGGTGGAGCTAGGGGGCCCTCCTGGTACAGCATGGCCATGGGCCTCTGAGCCTGGAGCCCTGAAGTCTCCAAGCTGTGGGCAGTCTCAGTTCAGAAGTCTTTGCTCCCAGACTCTGTTCTCACCAGAGACTCGCACTCAGGTTCCTCAGGAAACTCTCTCACACTCAGGCTCTTCTTGCTGGAAGGCTGAGGAGGAACGAGAACAAGGGTCACTTGTCCATGTGGCATGAAGAGATATGAGCACTTCCTGAGAGAGCTTTGCCTCAAATAAGCCACTTCTTTATGTCAGATGAAGCCTAGCTCCCAGAGTTTAATGTTGAAACAGAGGGGCAAATCCAAGGTAACCTTCCCATGCTGCTTCCCCCACCCCCTTCCTCACCATAGGTCAGAGGGAGTCGCAGGGCACACTGGGCTCCTGTGTATCTGAACTTTGAGGGAGCACAAGTGAAGGCATGCACAGTGCACAGACTGACCGGCTCACCCGCACAGGAACGGTCTAAGTACTGCCTCAGGGACTCTCGGCCTGAGCCTGTTCCTCTCCTCTCCCTGCCCCACCCTGTGCCCTGTGCAGGAGAAATGAGGGGCTAGTCTCCCCTAACAACCTTGACCCAAGCACCCAGCCTGGCCCAACTCCTGCTCCTGAGCTCCATACCTGTAGGTGGGTGCAGATCCTCCTTAACATATCATACACACTATCCCGGGACAGCAGGGACACAAACACATACTGAGGCAAAGAAAACAGAAAGGGGTGGGTAAGATGAGACCCCTGCCGGCCAGCAGTTCCCCCTCCATGGATGGGTGACAGGATTTGAGGCTGGGAGAGGTCAAAGGAACCCCCCACCAAGGAACTTCTGTCCCAGTAGGTTACAGGGCCTGAAGCAGCCATCGGAGAGTTTCAAGGTAAGGAGAAGGGTGCCAGAGTCAAGCTAGGGGATTCTTGAGGCTAGGATAACGAAACTGACAAGAGAGCTCTGGGCCAGGGACACTCACCTTCTGACTGGTGTTGGTTGTGATGACCAGTCCATTTGGAAGAAGTCGTGCCATCTTGTGTTTTTTGATCATTTGCACAGATACCACAGGAATGACTACCTGAAGAGGGACAGGTATGCTGTTCTCAAGATCTGCCCCAAATACACAGTCCCTCCACTCCCTAAATAGAGCCATAGTCCTAGCTGGCAGTGAGCCAAGCCTGGACACCATGGAGAAGCCTGGTCCCATGGGACAGAGGATCTGACCTTCCCATCTTCTCAGCCAGGCACCCCTTCCAGCATAGACAGCATATGCTCCTCCTGGCTCTGAGTTTACCCTTTGTTATCCAGGATGTCAAAGATGGTTGCTCTGGTGAATTCCTTAGCTACACTTCCGGCTCCCCTCTGATTCTGAGACACCCACAGGCAGAATAATTTGGCTGTGAACAGGCCACCGTAGGCCAAATGAGAGGTCTAGAGTAAGCCCCCTGTTTTTTTAGAAGGGGCAGAGCTGCTTCCCTGAACAATGAGTGGGTGCCCCTCAGCTGCTCATCCAGCTATTGAGAGGCAACAGCAGGTGCCTGACATGCAGACAGGCAGACGCTGAGCTGTGGTCTCAGGGCAGAGGACTCTGGCCTCAGTGGACCGTGGCAGCCCTTACTACTCACGACTACCTTGATATCCTTGCCAAAGAGGCTGGCATGGAAGCAGAGCCAGTTGGGGGAGATGTAGAGCCGGCCCTGGAGCAGGAAGTCCTTTTGGAGAGCACAGGAGCACACTGGGAAGTCAGAGGAAAGAAGGCTGCTATGAGCAAGGTTAGCCCAGCATGCCCCAGGGCCTGAGTTCTCACACACCAAGTCCTGAGTCCAGCTCCACAGACTCCTCCTCTTCCTAATCCCAGGCCCCAAAGAGTTCACTCCCCCAGCACTCCTGCAAATCCTGACTGCCCCGCCTCACCCCACCAGAGAACTAGAGGTTTGCTCTTTCTTTCTCCACCCTGCCCTGAGGAGAGGGTCTTGATTGTCCAAGTGTTCCTCAAGCTGAGTCAGAAGCCTGAGCAGGAAAAAAATCATTGTTCATAAGAGCAGGACAAAAGTAAGATGAAGTGCTTACATTTCCCCAGGAAACCCTTCATAAATTCAACTTTATATCCCAAACCAGCCCAGTCTTCTCATACATTAACCACATCCAAAAGACAGCCTGTTCCCATATCCAAACTGTGCCCTGGAGGCTCATGAGGAGAGGCCTTGGGCACTACAGAGCCTGCCTAGTAACCTGACAGAGATGCCTCACCTTTGAGAACCACCTCCTCCAAAGGGATGTCCTTAAACAGCTTGTGGTACTGCTGGTTGTATTTACTCTGTGCTGTCTGTAAACACACAGGATGGGTCTGAGAAGCTCTGAGAGATCAGCCCACCAGAGGGGTCTTGCTGTAGCCACCAGGAAATAATGCCAAAAGTCCCCCGCACCCCCCACCACCACTACCACCACCACCAAGGACTTAGTATAAAACAGCTAGGGGGTGTAGAGGGCTGAGTTCCAAGCACAGCTTGTTTCCTGGTGCCACTGGGTCATGACTGTCAGCCCGTGACTGAAGACAGATGCACCACTCCCACCCAGAGAGGAACACCCACTCAGGTCTCCATGAGACTCTTTGTTTCCTGGTGACCGAGGAGCCAACAGTCACTAAGTTTAGGCAGCCCAGGGCCTCTCCCATGATGGGCTTCCACACACTTACCCCTTCTCGGCTGCACTTCTTTATCTCTTCGCCCTTCAAGCCTTCTGGCCAGTGCAGGCTGCAAAAGAGACATTCAATTCTAGGGACCAGGAACCTTCAAGTCCTGCCCATGTGTCCTCAGAGCCAATTCTGCCCTAGCTTTGAGCCAGAAGCTTGGGGCAGAGATTGGAGCCTGGTGTTTTCATCCAAAGGCTACCGCCAAATGGCGACCTCATCCCTGGGGAGGGCACTCAGGTCCCTGAGAGCAGTGTCCTCTAAGGAGCCATGCTCAGCCAGAGATGCTCAGAAGCTGCTCTCTCTTGGGGTCAAAGACCCTCTCCCATTTCTCTGCCTAAGCCCAAGAATAAATGCAGGGGATGGAGGATGGAGCAGGGGTGAAAAGAGGGGTCAGATGCATGGCACCTGGCATGGGCCATGATCCTGGTAGCACTGCCCTTCTCACTGCCTCCTGCTGGGAGAGTGGGCCCAAGCACAGGTGGGCAGGGAGGAGCCTGGTAACCTGAGAAGCTGGACTCCGCTAGGTGCCTGTGCACTGAGAACAGCCCCAAGGTGTGGAAGGAGGAACAGCCCGTGCCTGCCCAACAGACCTGCTGAGGGGCCTTGACCCGGGAGCCAGACTTTCTGTCTCCTCTTTGACAGGCCACCTCCTGAAAGCTTCCCACCCCCCAGTATGTACATGAGTCAGGGGGCCTCACCTGTAGTCTAGGGGCACCTGAGTCCTGTCTAGTTTTTCAGTGCAGGCCATCATGAAGGCAGCTTGATGGGGTACCAGCCCCACCATGCTCAGGGCAGCCTGCTTCTGCCCACCTAAGATTGACCCTGCTTTTCAAGGCCTGAGGCAGCAGCTCACACAGCAGTTCCAGGAAAACATCACACGTTGTCTTTCCTAGAAGCCTGAAGTTTAACCTATGGCTGGGCCTGAAGGAGCTATACGGCAGGTGTTAGACTGGTCGTTAGGCCTCCAGCCCCACCCTTGACGAGGCATAGCGTGAGACTCCAAGCTTCTCAGACTTACTAGTGAAAGCAAAAGATTCTGCAGTGCCAGGGCAGCTTCCGGAAAAGGAGCTGAGGGGCTAATGTGGCTGACAAGTGGGAGGTGGGCTGCCGTCAGCGCAAAGGAGAAGAGGGCTTGCCGTACACCAAGAGTGTGGAGGCCTCTGCCCTAAGAGCCAAACCATCTAAAAAATGTCCCAGAGCGGGCTCAGGAAACAGACACCTGCTCCATCCCCAGTGGCCTTTGGGTCCTTGCCTCCACTAAGGAGCTCCAAAAACCAGGGTTCCCAGATTCTTGGTGCCTTGGAGGAAGGCTTGGAATCAACAGAGCTGGCACATTGGCACTGGTGGAAGGGGCTCCAGGGCTGACCAGGGAAGGAGGAGTGTGATGATTGTGCATAGGTTCCTCAGAAGATGAAGCTGAACCTCAAGTCTCCAAATCCCAACAAGGCCCCCAATTGGAATGCTACATCACACTATACATGTCGAAGTTCATTCAGTTCAAGACTAGAAACTCAGCCCAAGACCTACCAGGACCCTCCCAGAGTAGTTAATCTGACACCTTCCCCCATAGCAATGTACACACAAGGAAACAGACTCACCAAAAGACCAGCCTTGCCTAGTGACACAATAAAGTCAGGTGACCTCACCCACATATCAGCCACCGCCATCTGGGCTACTGGCCTCTGTCCTCGTGGAAGGTCTTGGCGTACACGTCAACATCTGTTTACTCAGTCTTGCAAAGTCACAAACTCTGCTTTTGACCCTTGGATTCACAAGGTGAATTTCTGGATTTTTTTGGTTCTATCACTTAACATTTCACCAGGTAGTTCTTTATTTTTTATGTTTATTGTAGAAAATGTGAGAAATATAGGAAACATAAGATCACAATCACCCCTAAGAAAAAGTTTCCCCAGGAGTGACAGGGCAGGTAATACACAACAAAAGGGAGGTTAGCAGAGGGCAGATGAAGGAGGCAGGAGACCCAAGGAGGAATGCAATAGTTCAAGTGAATAGAGGTAAATGCTGCTAACTGTTGGTACGTGAAAGGGATTGCGACCATGTAATGAAGCAAAGCATATGACTTGTTGAATATTAAAACTGATGACCTGCTCAGTAAACCTTCACTCAATTCATAATAAGAAGTAGGGGGGAAAAATCACCTAAAGCCCCCTCTACTACTGAAATTCAAAGTGAACAAGCATGTAAGCTTGCTGCCGACCACATTGGTCTACTGGTGAGTGGAAGTGGGGGAAAGACAGCAATGAAGATATGGGCTGAGTTTGACCACAATCCATAGACTCCCATCAACCTGGAGATGAGAGATGAGGAAGGGCTGATTGGTCCGAAGTGTGGTGACACCTGAGGACTCCTGAGCCCATGGACAAGGACATAGCCACAGAGGGCTAAAGCAGAGAGTGAAGCATCCAGCTGATATGAAGTGCGAGGCGACACACAAGGATACCCGAACTTGTAGATATTACCCATTTGACCTAGCTTCAATGGCTTGATGATCAGAACTCCTCGAATAGAGGAAGATAACAAAATTTGATAAAGGAAACAAGTGTAAATTGCTACAATTTGATGAACTTGACCTGTACTTATGGATGTAGTAGCTCAAAATACCAACTGAGAGGAAAGGTGTTTTCATATCAAGTGTCAATCCTATCCCCTCTGTACGCAGGGCTGACAGGGAAGGGCAACTTAGACACTGGCTACCTAAAATGAGGGGCTATAAAAGGCATGAAGTGTCTGGCTTACAAGTTTTCAAGATGAAGTTTAGTTTCAGAGTGGGGGGGAAAGGCAGAATCCCCACTGAATGGTTTTCATCTTGTCTAGATGGGTCTGGTGAAAGGAGATAGGGATATGATTCTTATGATTCACTGGTGAGTAACTGTTACCATGACTAATTGTGATTATCACAATTGTAAAGATAGAAGTTTTGTAACAAAATGGGGAGTAGTTAATCTTGTATTCCAGAACAGAAGACCCTAGGACCATCAAGGGAGAAGAGCATGAGACCCGATCCAGAGAAGCAGCGACACCAGAGATGGAGACAGAGATGAGGACATGGAGAGATAGAGCAGCTGAGGACTCTAGACTCATGGAAAGAGAAAGGCTGTGTGCTGGCAGCCAGGAGGCAGGCTTGCAGAATGTGCCCTTGGGTTGTTTAAATATGTATATATTCCTGAGTGATTTTATGTACATAAAAAAAAAGAGGGAATAGAAGTGAAAAAATGCATTGCAATTTGAAAAAATATCAACTAAAGAACAAATGTATGCAAAAAGTCTATCATTTATGCAAAAGTGTAGTAAAATAGTATAGGAACTTTGTACCCTGCTTTTCTTGCTTAACATGAAATCCTTCGTATCACTGCTCATCCCTGGGATAGAGTCCCCGAAGTGAAATTAATGGGTTGAGAGTGAACGTTTGTCAGGATCTTGAGATAGATGTCCGAAGTGTTTTCCAGATGCTGTAGCTATTAACATGGTCATTAGCACTGCAAGAGAGTATGTTTCCCCTCAGCCAAGCCCTATTCTGGGTATCAGCTTTTGCTCACCTTTACAAACTTGATAGGTAAATATATGCTCTTTTAATTTGTATTTTTGCTTAACTGGCAGGTTAAAAGAGCCCTGGTGGCACAGTACATTAAGCATTGGGCTAACAGAAAAATTGGCCGTTCAAACCTACCAACAGCTCTGAGGGAGACAGATAAGGCACGTCTGCTTCTGTATAGATGTACCGTCTCAGAAACCCTAGGGAGCAGTTGCACCCTAACCCCTAGTGTCACTATGAGTTGGAGTAGACTCAATAGCAGTGGGCTTGGTACACTGAACCTTTTTTTTTTTTTTTGTGATAGTTTACATTATCTTTACATTCATCCTATTGTATTTTGTTTCATTGCAATGATTACAATCCCCTCCATGCATCATCAAACAACAAAAGGATACACCCCACACACCTGTCCCCCACGCCTCGCCCACCAGCACACAGCCCCTCTCCCTTCCTGTGTCTAGAGTCCCCAGCTGCTCCTCTCCACGTCATCATCTCTGCCTCCATCCCTGGCATCACTGCTTCTCTGGATAGGGTCCCGCACTTCACTTTTCTCCCTTGATGTGAACCTTTTTTTTTTTTTTTTTAATTTTTTTTTGTGAATTATGTGATAGTTTACATGGGAGAACATTAGTTTTACATTCATCCTATCGTATATCATTTCATTGCCATGGTTACAATCCCCTCCATGCATCATCACCCCAGTCGTCATGCCCCCCAATCGTCAGCACACAGCCCCTCTCCCTCTCTATTTCTAAAGTCCCCAGCTGCTCCATCTCTCCACGTCATCGTCTCTGCCTCCATCTCAGGCATCACTGCTTCTCTGGGTAGGGCCTGGCTCTCTGCTCTTCTCCCTTGATGGTCCCAGGAATCTCCACTCCTAGAATGGAAAGTTAATCACTCCCCTCCTTGCTACAAAATGTCTACCTTTACATTTCCAACCCTCACAATCAGTCCTGACAACAGTTATTTACTATTGTATCACAAGAAACCTATCTGCATTTCATTTCATCAGACCCGCCTAGACAGATTGGATACTACTCAGTGGAGATTCTACCTTCCTCCACACCCCAGTCTGGATCTAGGTTCCCTCTTGAAAGCTTGTAAGCCAGTCACTTCTTGCCTTTATAGCCCCCCACATTTTGGGTAGCCAACCTGGCTGTTCAAACCCACCAGCAGCTCTGAGGGAGGAACTGTGCTCCATTAAGTTTTCCATGCTGCTGCTTTTTTGGAAACAGATGACCAACTGTTTCTTCCAGAGCAACTCTGGGAAGACTCTAATCTCCAATCTTTCAGTTCACAGCCAAGCACATTAACTGCTGGCTTCACCCAGGGACTCTAAGCTTCCCTCAAGTATTTGCACAGATTCTAATGCAAATACTTTGAAGCTAAAACATAACCTTCACCATAACCTTCTCAGGGACAGAAGCCTGTGTTTGCCACTCCCCTGTCCTAGCTGAGGCGCATCTGCTTCAGGAACTCCCATCAACATTAATCATAAATCTTCATCTCGGCTTTTATCACATGATGTTGGAGAGCTGTAACCATCCACTTCCCCTACTAGACAGGGCTCCAGGAAGTCAGGAACCCCACTCAAATGTTCAGCAAACGTGTAGGCATTACTGACCGTGTGAAGATGACTGCTGGTGGAGATAAGGACCATGAGACTGAAAGAAGAGCACTCATTCCCCACTGCACCCCACAAAGAAAGAAGGGTATACACCAGGCTCACTTGGGAACAAATGACTTTCAAGTATCTTTCAGCCAAAAGCAACCCCTGACATGTGATTACAAGCCATTAGTGTGTGAGCCAGTCCCTCACTGCTCTCCTCTGATACTGTTGTTGGTCCCACACCCAGCCAGTGGCCCAAATGACCAACCCTGTACTACCTTTAAAACGATCTACAATTTAGACTTTCTAGCGCAAGGTCAGCAGTTCGAAACTACCAGCTGTTCCACGGGAGAAAGATGAGGCTTTCTGCTCCCGTAAAGATTTACAGCCTCGGAAACCCTGT